CAGACAAGCAATGGAAAATTAGTGGATGGAAAATGGCTGATTGGTGTGATATTTCACAAGATATTTCAATCCACCCCCATTAACAAAAATATTGTACAAGCCTATCAGAAGCTATAGGCCAGAAACATTTGATGCTTTCTGATATAAGAAGATATGTCAGAGGATTTGTTTATCCTTCCTCTGTGATACAAATTTTTACTACTACTGTCTATTTGTCATTTGTTTTTAATGACATTCTGTTGTTTATCCCTTGTTATTTCCATCTTGATTATATGTCAGCTTGTAAAAGACCTCCACTCAGTTTATGTATTAATGTATTCATATATTTTGTAGTCGTTTTTTTCACTAGATCCTGTTGTTTAAATCAATTTCATTTCGGACACCAGGTTATCCACTTACTACTGTTGTCTAGGGAGTCCTGGGAACACACATTAGGCTGTCAGTGTGTCCATCTGGAGCCTAGTTTGCATTTAAAAAGTTCCTGATAAATTTGTTGAATTCAGTTGTTGAGCTGATTTCAAATAGTGGCATCATATAATGGTTAAAATGCTTTTAACAAAGAAACAGATACAGATAAGTGCCAAATTTAAGTGTGCCTTCAAGAAAATGTACTGTCATCTGTTGTATGATTTATCATGTCTTTCCAGTTTGTATGACAGCATGTCAAATACATTGGCTCTTTTCAAGAGTATTCAGCTTAAAACTGGAGACTGCTCTAAAATGCAGCATTTGTCGCTGGTGACATACAACCAATGTGTATTTGTTGTAAACATGTTTGCTGTTGGTGGTGAGACCCACATAAACAGTGTCATAGAAATAATCAAACTAGCCAGCGGTGGACACAAAAATTCTGTAGAGACATTGTGATAGATAGGTACATTATTGTTACAGATGCCATGTTGTCCTCCACTTATGACTAACAACATCGCATAGAACAGTGATCATTTTTCCTCCTGATGCCCTACATTTGACTGATTTTTGCTTTTATTGAAATAGTTTTGTCCTACCTTGGAAGTAGAATTGTCACAATACCACAATTGTGAGAAAATAATTAAATATACAATGATATCAATCCTGAGCTGAAGCCTCTTACCTAAAACATTATGAAAAGTAATGGAATAATAGATAACAGAATATGGAAAATAAAATAGAAACACTGCAACTCACAGGTTTCTTTAAACATCTAATTTCTGACAATGGCCATGTAGTGAATGTGCTTTTGTCCTCTTGTGGTAAATGCAAAGTTTTGGCAAAAATATGTATTGTAAATTTGGTGGAGACTTAATTTTAGATTTTAATCACAAAGATCCTAATCACAGAGATGCTCACTCAAGGCATCTATTGGATTTGGATCCCTGATGCACAGTCTCAAATGTGATCATATTTGCATGTGTTGAAACATTTTCCTCTTTAACAAGGACAAGGAGGCCTTTCTGTAAATTAACTAATTTACTGCATGAGTTGAAATAGAGAGTACTGTCTAGACTGATTTGTTCATGTAAGCCAGGATTACATGGCACACACAGTTGAATAGTTGGGAGATGCATGTGCCTCTGTGAGTTGTCTGCATTGTGGGGTGTGTGCTGCTTGGGAATAACACAAGTCCTACATACCCCTGTTCTTGAAATGTATTCCCTTGTTTACTGCCATACACGTTATAAATACAAAATAACACATGTATACATATTGCTGTTTTGTTTTCGTTAGAATCAGTTGTTGCCTTTCTATCACTGTGGAATGCTATTTTATTGTTTAACAAGGGACTATAAAACTAATAAATGCTTTGCTGTATAATTATTCTGCAGAACCATTTTTTTGTTGTTGTTTCCTTGAGTAAATTTAACTGATAAATAACGGTGGAAACATATTTGTAGGGAAAAATGTAGTAACATTTTGGCTTGGCACACAGTGGGGTAAAAAATGTCTAAAATTTAATCAAATAAGTCTACGAAAGTCACTTTGACTAATCCTAAAAGTAAACCGTTTTGGACCCTCTATTCTGAGAGTACTTACTCATCTAACATGTTCTTTCTGTCTGTCTCAAACATAAAAAATGTAATTTACTATGCATTTACACACTATTAAATCAAAACTTTGCCAAAACCACTGTCACCACAACAGCTTTGACCTGTGAAGTAATGGACTCTGAAGGACTATTTATAGTTAGAAAAGTAATGTTGTGAACTGCTAAGAAGGCAATCTTATAATAAATGATAAGTATGAGTGACAAGTCAAAACATAATCAGAACATTTGCTTCTGTGCTGTTGGTCCATTTACATGCTTGCCAAAGCACCTCTGATCTGCTAAGGCCTGGACTATCTAAGACCTCTGAAGGTATCCTGTGGTATCAGGCACCAAGACATCAGCAGCAGATCAATTAAGTCCTGGAAATTGTGTGTTGGAGTCACCATAGATCAGATTTGTTTTAGCACATCCCACAACCTTTCACTGAGTTATTGTTTATACCTCCTTAAATCACGCTTACTAGGTTCTCACCACTGCAACCAGCAGCACCCCACAAGCCTTGCTGTTGATGTGTTGACCCAGTGGTCTGGCGTGAGAGGCAATATATTTTTTGGCTTCATGGAGCAAAAATGGGTGAATCTCGTCCACACCTGAAGTTTTGCCACCGAAGAGCTTCTTAACTACCTTGGCGACCTCTTCCACAGATATGGGCGCAGAAATCCCCAAGTCTTCAGGCTCTTCCCCCTCAGCAGAGGACGTGTTTACCAGATTCAGGAGTCCCTCGAAGTGCTCCTTCCAGAGGCTCGAAAGGTCTCCTTCTTCAGCCTGATGACTTCCCTTACCGCCGGTGTCCAAAAGCGGGTTTTGGGGTTGCCACCATGACAGGCACCAGTGACTTCTGGCAACAGCTCCTAACGGCCATTTCTGCAACGGAGGCTTTGAACGTGACCCACTCTGACTCCATGTCCCCAACCTTCCCCAGAAAGCAGGAGAAACTCTTCTGGAGGTGGGAATTGAAAACCCCACTAACAGGGGTCTCCGCCAGACGTTCCAATTTCACCCTCACTATATGTTTGGGTTTACCAGCTCTGTCCAGCGGCCTTCCCCACCATCGGATTCAATTCAGGTGGTGATCAGTTGATAGCTCTGCTTCTCTCTTCACCTGAGTGTCCAAAACATACGGCCGCAGATCTGATGATATGACAACGTAGTCAATCATCGAGCTTTTGCCTAAGGTAGACTGGTACCAAGTACACTTATGAGCAACCTTTTTTTTTTTTTAAATTATTTTTTTGGCCTTTGTGCCTTTATTTGATAGTGCAGTGAGAGAGAGACAGGAAAGTGGGGGAGGAGAACGGGGGTAGGACGTGCGGGAAAGGGCCATGAGCGGGATTCGAACTCATGACCTCCACATCGGGACTGTAGCCCTGCATATGGTACACCAGCTCAACCAGGTGAGCTATAGTGGCGCCTGAGCAACCTTATTTTTGAACATGGTGTTTGTTGTGCCCAACCCGTGGCTAGCACAGAAGTCCAAAAACAAAACACCCCTCAGGTTCAGCTCAGGCAGGCCATTCCTCCCAATCACGCCCTTCTAGGTTTCACCGTCATTGCCCACATGAGCATTGAAGTCCCCCAGGAAAACTATGGAGTCCCCAGGCGGCACCCCTTCCAGGACACCACCCAGAGATGACAAGAAAGCCGGATACTCTGAACTGCCGTTTGGTGCATAAGCACAAACAACAGTCAGAGGTTTCCCCTCTGCAACAGTCACAGAGAGGCGACCTTCGCGATCTCCACGGAGAACTCCAACAAGGCGGCGCTCAGCCAGGGACTTGTGAATATCCCCACACCCACCCAGCGCCTCTCACTGTGGGCAACTCCGGAAAAGGAGAGAGTCCAGCCCCTCTCCAGGAGTTTGGTTCCAGAGCCCTTGTTGTGCGTGGAGGTGAGCCCGATTATATTTAGCCGGTAACGCTCCACCTCCCGCACCAGCTCAGGCTCCTTCCCCGCCAGTGAGGTCATGTTCCACGTCCCCAGAGCTAGTCTATGCCACCAGGGGGCAGTATGCCAGGACGCCCACTCCTGCCTACCACCCAGTGGGCTTAACACCCAACCCCGATCTTCTGCCCTGAGGGTGATGGGCCCTCTGAGCAGAGGCCCTGTGTTACCTCTTTGGGCTGTGCCCAACCCAGCCCCACAGGGCTCTAAGGCTTGGCCACCAGACACTCCCCAGGGAGCTCCCCCCCAGGTCTGGCTCCAGGAGGGTGCCCCGGTCTTCCTAATCTGGGCGAGGTGACGGTTTTCCTTCTTCTAGTTGTCATCAGGGTTCTTTGTCTTTTGTCTGGTCCCTCCCCCAGAACCAATCTGCCTTGGAAGACCCTACCAGGGGCTAATGCCCTGGACAACATACCTCCCAAGATCACAGGGACACTCAAACCCCTCCACCACGATAAGGTGGCAATTCAGTGGGGGGAGAAAAGCAATGCGACTAAAATAATGTAAAGGAAGCGTTGGTTATCAAGACTTACTTCCTTGTGTTCCATTTTTACTCCCCTTTAATCCTGTTCAGAAATGCTGGGTGAAGTTTGACACAGAGCCTCGTAGATGAACAAAAACAATGTTAACCTCACAAATTGCTGTCAGACATCCGTGCAGCCTTACTCTAGTGTTGCTCTAGTGCTCTAAGCACCATGCCCTTCAATCATCGTGCATCATCAGCCAATAACCTTACATAAAAATGTTTCCAACAGACTGTATATTTTTCTGATAGATGTGTTTTTATTTGATATCAAGAAAATCAATTGCTGTGTGCCTCTCAAATCAAACTGATCTAAACACACTTTATCCACACCACAAATTTATAATATAGTTAACTGTAATTTCAACTGTCATGTTAAGGTGAAGACTTAAAAGCAATAACTACTGCCTGTGATGCTTAGCAATATTAACAATATGGGAAAAAAATGTTGATTAACTGCATGCTGTTTGTAGAAAATTCTGGGTGTGGTCTAACTGTCTTTGCTGTTCACAGGGGGACCAAAGGCAAGGACATCAGCACCATAAAGTCTTTGAGGGTTCTCCGAGTTCTCAGACCTCTGAAGACTATCAAACGTCTGCCAAAACTCAAGGTTTTTCTCCAATGCTGAATTCTCATTTATTTGAATTATTTTGGCATGGTTGGTAGGGCTTAGCTGTGGCTCTTATTGCCACAGATGTGTTTGTTTTATGCCAAATGAAATTGTTAGGGGGGGCAAAAGTAATCCTACCATAAACATACTGTTGTAGGTGTACTAGGTGCATGAGGTTTTTCTTTATATAGTTTGTATCAAAACTTTGTGTAATTTCGATTAACCTACTGGAGGTAATATGTTAAAAGGCTTTTTAAAATTGTAATGAACATGAATTTGTAAGAACAAATATAACAAATGATTTTGTTACTCGTGCTTGTCTGAAATGCAATATGCCCAGACTTGTTACATACAGTTACAAAAGAAGGCAAACAGCACATTTTAAACCAAATAAGGGTTTGCTTATCTCCTTCCCTTTGATAAAAGTCAGGCTTCAGTAAGCTGGACTTGTTTCTTTACACCTTATGGGTTACACCAATTGGGAAGTGGGATCTGCGTAGTTGGGAAGCCAAGTCAGCCTGGATTCTGTGTCCTTTGAGCCATTCCTACTCAGTTTTAAATATTTTTTTTCTGGGCTTTTTTGCCTTTAATGGACAGAATAGTGAAGAGAGACAGAGAAACATGGGGAGAAGAGTGGGGGAAGGACATGCAGCAGATGAGCCGCTGGCTAGACTTGAACTGCAGCCGCTGCGTCAGAGACTGTAGCCCTTACATGGGTCGCCATCTTATCCAGTTAAGCTACTGGGTCACCCATTCCTGAGCAGTTTTTACTGCATGGCTGGGCACATTGTCCTGCAAAAGGAGACCACTACTGTTGGGGAGTGCTGTTGCCACGGAGGGAATGGGGTTGTGTGTACTTGGACCGCAGCAATGTTATAAGGTGGGTGGTACATGTCAAAGTACCATCAACATGAATGCCAGCAGATTTTTCAGGAGATCAGTGCAATTTGATGAGATGTCATCTTACTTTAACTGTTAGTGATTTTAATATTGTGGGTTTTCAGTTTGATCAACATGATAGGTTGTCAGATCCCATCCTTGGGATCTCCCAAGATATCATGACACATAAAGATTACTTTTTAAACGCCAACCCATCACACAATAGGAAAAATAGGTTTGTGATCAATGCAGTGTTGCCAGTAGTTAAATGAGGTATTTTTGGACAACCTCAGGAAGGTGTTCCAAACACTAGGTTTGGTGTCAATACATGAAACAGTTTCTGAAACATGATCCACTTTCTGTTTTATGGATTCAACACAAATGTCAGTTAATTGTAATGGACTGAACATGATTTGTCCCAGTTTTGGTGGAGACTGGAACAAAAAGTTTTGCATGTGAAAAAGACAAAAAATATTCTATAAAATCTAATGTAGCAGTGATATCATCTATGTTGACATGACATTAATCAGATTATAATGTTGCTGAGATATGGCCTTAACTCCCATTTAGCAGCTTTAGTTGACTGTGACAAATGCTTTTGAAAATCAAAACTCTGTTTCTTAAACCTTGGTTCTCAAGCTCATCTGTATCAATCAGAGTAAAACAATTTTCTCATAAAATCAATATGGACAATATTACCCCATAGAAATCCGCTTCATTGAAGGAATCCAATAGTATCTCATTTTTGAAAAAATGGTTCTAAAGTTTCATGCAGAAATGCACCTCTATCTTGGACCCACTGGCAGCACTAGAGTCCTCAAAATGCAGACATGGAACTGCATGAAAAGAATCAAGACTCCAGGAGAAAAAAAAATACAGACGACAAAAATGATGCACTGTATATCAAATGGTAGAAACAATGATTACCTATGCAGTTGTGTGATTTGCTTCCAAATTATGAGTTTCATATCCTTTTTGGCCAATTTTTTTGTCTAGAGCCACCACCATGCATGGGCATGGAAAACATTCTGTGTTTTCAGTAGATGGGTTTGGTCTGCAGGTGTGAGATGATTCAGATGAACAGGGCCATCTGAAAGACACTCCTGATTAGAATGTAAAATGCTGACAATAGTTTTGACTGCATTCAGAGAAAAATTCTGTAATATTTTAGTTTGAAATGTTTGTCTCTTTGTGTGCGTCCTCAGGCGGTGTTTGACTGTGTAGTCAACTCTTTGAAGAACGTGCTGAATATCCTCATTGTTTACATCCTATTCATGTTCATCTTTGCTGTCATCGCGGTTCAGCTCTTCAAGGGAAAGTTCTTCTATTGTACTGATGAATCCAAAGGCCTGGAGAGAGACTGCAAGTTGGTCTAAAATCCCCAATGCCCTGATTTCTTATCACAGAACCTTTTTCATTGTAAACTGTTAAATATTAATGTGTACCTGTCTCACACCAGCTTTACTCATAACTTCATGTCTTCCAGAGGACAGTTCCTGGACTATGACAAAGATGAGGTGGCTGCCATGCCCAGGGAGTGGAAAAAATATGAGTTCCATTACGACAATGTGCTGTGGGCCTTCCTGACCCTCTTCACTGTTTCTACTGGGGAGGGCTGGCCAACGTAAGTGCAGCTGACTTGTCTCCCTTTTTTTTTATTAAAATGGGCTCCAGCCCCCCAGAGACCCTAGTGAGGATTAAGCGGTGTATAGATAATGGATGGATGTTTTCTTATTTTGGCCTTTATTGCAGAGGATAGTGGAGAGACAGGAAACGTGGGGAGAAGGACGAGTGGGGGAAGGACATGTAGCAAATAAGCCATGGATTGGACTTCAACCATGGCCGCTGAGTCAGGGAATTTCAGTCCCTGTACATGGGTTGCCCGCTCAGCTTGTTGAGCTATTGGCATGCCCATTGTCTCCCTCTTAAAGGCATAAAAAAGCAGGTTTTGTTCAGAATTAATGTGGATTGACCTGTTCCAGTGGGGAAATTGGGTCATTGCAAATGCAATGACGAACACAAGACAGCCAAAACTTCTAAATATATCATCTATATATTCTGAGGACTATAGAAAATATTCAACCCCACCAGTGGCAAAGCCAATATTGAGAACACAGAGTGAATCATAACTATGAAAGTAAATGCAAATAAGAAAAATATACCATCAGTCTTCAACATACAGCGATTGAGCTTTTTGTTTTGCTGTGATTGAAGGGCCATATTTAATCCCATCAACTGAACTGACCCAGCTGCTGGTTGGTCACTTTCCCACTGCCAGCCCCTTTCTAAGGAAACTGATGTTGTGTGTCTGAAATAGTCAACTTGTTACGGACTGGTTCAGAGACTCGTGCGCGAGGCAACAGGACACGGTAGACAAGCAGTTGGAAACAATTTATTGGTACACATAGGAAAAAGTACAGAACTTAAAGAGATTTGCTGGCAAGGCAAACTGTCTATAGTGACCGAACTAAACAAAAAACTAAAGACACGGACCCGAGCTCGGTACCACCGAGTCGGGAACCGAGAAACCAAAACTAGACTACACAAAAAGGAACAACTAAAGGACACCAAAAGGTGCGAACGAGGAGACTCTTAAAAAAAACAGAAAAGGCTAGCAAACCAAAAATCTATCTAATAAGCTAGCGCTACGCACAGACAGGCGGGCTAAATGCAAAACGGGAATCTACAAAAACAGAAAAGGCTAGCAGACAAAAGGCTATCTAGGAGCTAGCGCTACGCACGGACTGGCGGACTAAATTCTGGACTGGTAGATACAGAACATACAGACAGACTAAGGATCAAACGCTAATGCTAGATTCAGACAGGCTGACTTAATACACAATACAGAGTTACCGGACTGACGGACTGACAAACTAAAAAACGTCTCAAGGCTGACGCTACAAGAGACGGGCTACGTACGGACACTAAGTCGGAATGCTAAAATGCTCAGGCTAACAAAACCCACACCGGGAGAACCAGACCTGACGGGTGCCGACCGAGTGGAGAGGGGAAGCAGGGAGGAGGGTTGGAGGTGCAGAGGGTTTAGGCGTTGCCGCGGTTGCGGTGGAGTGGCTGACGGAGACTGGGAGCAGACGCCAGGGAGTGAGAGGTGAGCGGAGCTGGTGCTGGTGAGCAGACGGAGCCGTAGGTGGTGGAGTGGCGTCAGGACTGACGGGTGGCCGAGAGCGGGCAGGTGACAGGTGGTGAATCCGGTTTCCAATGGCTGGAGTCGCCGGCTGACGGAGTGGCTGGATGTCAATGACAGATGATCCGGGCCGAAAAGACAAGGTTAGATTGCGGCTGACAAGAAAAGGAGCTGAGAATAAACAATCTTGGTCAGGAATTGACTGAGGACTGTTTACGGTCCGGCGACGAGTAGTGGTCTGGTCGTGGCTTAAATGCTGGTCTCATGATGAGACACAGCTGCGGCAAACACACACCAGCGTAATCAGCGGATTGAGATCACCTGCCCGCTCTCACCAGCTCACGCCCACCTAGTTAGAGGAGAGGGAGAGAAAGAAAGGAGGAAAGAAGGGAGAGAGAGAGAAGACTGCCGCTACCTGGCCCTAGTGGCAGCGGGCGTGACACAACTAGTTCTTCTTCTTAAAGTCAGTTATATAAAGCTTACTTACAATAACCTGAAGGTTTTTGTGGCTAAACACGGTGTTGCTGTTTGAACCTATGTAATAACTTTGTTACTATAAGCCTTCATGCCTCCCATGCTTAATATCAAACTCATCCCTGTTTCACATTCAAAAAATGCTTGCCAGTTGCCAATAATTTGTGCTGTTAGGCAAAGAAACTTTCCTAGCTCATCTTTTTTCAAGAGCTGAACTATAAAGTGAGTTATCTGGCATTGGCACTAGTTGGAAATATTTGTTTTTTTATTTTAATGTTTTTATTGAGTAATTATTACCTCACTGTTTTAGTGAATAATACACTCTATTTCACTTTCTTGTCATTTTCTTTGCAGTGTTTTGAAACACTCTGTTGATGCCACCTTTGAAGATCAAGGTCCCAATCCAGGCTACCGGATAGAAATGTCCATCTTCTATGTGGTCTACTTTGTGGTCTTCCCTTTCTTCTTTGTCAACATCTTTGTTGCTCTGATTATCATCACCTTCCAGGAGCAGGGAGACAAGGCCTTGTCTGAGTGTAGCTTGGAAAAGAATGAGGTAATTTAACCGTTTTGTCTTATCGTTTCCTGGATATGTACTAACGTCACAAAACATTTAGAGGAGATCTTTGCAAGCATTTTCATTGCAGAAGGTTGCCACAGTAGACTGAAGAGATTATTTTTTCATGATACATAACCAAACTGTCATTTTTCCAAAGAAGATATTTAGCTGATTGTGTCACGGATCGAATAATAGAAACCAAGCACAGACAAAAGACTTGACAACCTGGATATCACACACAATTGATTTATTTACAAAATATACAAACAACAAATAAACGGAAGTGAAACTGTGGTAAAAGTACAAAGTACGGAAGCCTAGTGCTACCAATGGTTGGATGGGAAAGTGCAGTCTATATACACATGACAAACAAAGTGAAACTAACTACGTGAAATACCAAGACTAGTGAATCACATATTTACAAATATACAAGAAATGTAAACTATGGAAAACCAGCAGGGAAGCAGGGAGCTTAGCTGAAACTACAAATACTGTAGAAAGCATTCAGGGATTTTGACCACCGGCACATTCCAGCATGAGGTTGGAGACATATGCGGCATTTTCCAGACATCACTGAGCAGGATCAAGCCAGCAGTGTTGGATCCCTTACAGCCATCACCAACAAGCCCAACTCAAACGGGGACTTTATGCTATTGCTAGATTCCCAAACATATGTGGAGCCATAGACTACACCCACATCACATTCAAAGTAGCATCACTAAAAAAAATGTAATTTTGTAAATAGACAAGGGTTTCATTCAGTCAGCGTACAAATAATTTACGATGCACATTTGTCGCTATCAAACGTTGTTGCCCGGTGGCTTGGAGGAACACATTCAACTCATTCACTGAGCAGAACAGCTCTGTGGATGTGTCCCCAAGCAGGAGCTGCTGAAGACGTCTGGCTTATTGGTGAGTGTGACAGTGTGGAAATGTTTTAGTTGGACTTAATATGGTTATTAAAACATCTCATCTGTCGGTGATCAGGGTTATCCACTGGGTGAAAGTTCAGTATTAATTCATCCTCTTCTATTTGCAGTCATTTCTCTTTAATGGGCTGTGATGCGATTTTTAGCCACTTTTTTAAAATTTTTGCTAGCGATCTCTCCTCTGACCCACCAGAAATAACTGCAGTGGTTATCATGTCCCATGCAGTGTTTTCCTTTTGTTGGTTATCACAACATTTCATGCACCAAACAATGCTTCCGGTTTGCTTCAACCTTGCTGACAAGTACCTGGGGCCTCATTTATCATCAGTGCGTAGAAAAGGTTCTAAATTCTGTCGTACAATTGAGATTTAGAGTGTGCGTAAGTACAAAAAAAATCCATATTTATCAAACGTGCATACGGGGGTCGTACGCACATCAGTGTTGATAAATCCCACTTGTTCTCGTGCACGTTGCCTTCAGGAACGCCTCCAAATCACCATATAGGGCAACAACACACCTCTTTATAAGCAAGTGAAGATTTATTTTTTCCTCACCTGTCGTCATCATCGTGGCAAAAAGGGAGAAAAAGAGGAACTTTTATGAAACTGAGATCGAGGTACTTGTCAGCAAGGTTGAAGCAAACCAGAACATATTGTTTGGTGCGTGAAATGTTGGGATGAGCAGTGAAAGAAAAAATATTGCAGACAAGATAACCACCACAGTTATTTCTGTTGGTCAGAGGAGAGATCGCCGGAAAAAAATTTAAAAAGTGGTTTGACGTTAAGCTCAGTGCCAAAAAATGCATCACAGTCCATAAAAGAGAAATGGAGGAGGACGAATTATTACCGAACTTTCACCCAGCGGATGATTTCCACACTCTGTGACACTCACCAATATGCCAGCTGTCTTCAGCAGCTCCTGCTTGGAGACCCACAGAACTGTTCTGCTCAATGAATGAGACGTGCGTTCCTCCAAGCCACCGGGCAACAACGTTGGATAGCAACAAATGTGCATCACAAATTATCTGTACGTTGATTAAATGAAACCCTTTTCTATTTACAAAATTAAGCTCATTTAGTGATGCTGCTTTGATTGCTATGTGGGTGCAGTCTATGGCTCCACTTATGTTTGGGAATCCAGCGATGGCGTTAAGTCCCCGTCTGATTTGGGCTCATCTGTGATGGCTGTAAGGGAACTGGATGTAGGCTGGGGCCAGGGGAGTTATGGTATCCAACACTGCCGGCTTGATCCTGCTCAGTGGTGGCTGGGAAATGCTGCATAAGTCTCCAACCTCACGCTGGAATGTGGTCAAAATCCCCAAATACTTTCTATTTGTAGTTTCACTATTCTACCACTAAATTATGCATGTACGCATGGTCAGAGTTGTGCGTATATTTACGCACAGTTCTAAGTATATGTACAAGTTGATAAATTCCATGCTTTGTATAGGAATGTTCGCACGCACGCTCTGCGCACATATCTGTGCGTACACACTGATGATAAATGAGGCCCCTGGACTTCAGTATCAGAAAAGTTCCTATTTTTCGTCCTTTTTGCCACAATGATGACGACAGGCAAGAAAATCATGCGTATGACAGAATTTAGAACCTTTTCTACACACTGAACAAGGTCAGAGAGGGGGAGGCCCTGACATGTGTCCCTGTGATAACTGAATAAAATCTTTAAATTTAGCTACAACTCAATTGATGAGAGATTGATTTTAAGATAAGCTCATTTAACACAAACATTAAGTATGAGAGCTGTCTTACTGAAGGTGCAAGAGTTCTTCACTTTGAACTCTTTTTCCCACAATAATTGTATTAATTTTTAAAATTTTGACACAATAACAGCAATGAAAACACAAACACTAGAAAAAACAAACAGACAGCTCAGCTTACCAATATGTACAATATATACATATATATCGACATACATACATAGTCGCAACCCATAGAGCCTGGAAGCTGCAATGTTGCCATTTTTAGTCTAGGTCTAAGTTTATTCCATATAAATGAGCTTAGCCAGCTATTTAGATCTTTTAGTACCCTACTCAAAAGTAATACTGGGACCATTTGAATGGGATAAAGTATCCTCGGTAGCACATTTTTATCAAAGCTAGTCTTCCTAGCCATGAAACAGGAACTGCATTCCACCGCTCTAAATCACATCTAACCTTACCAAATAGTGCAGCAAAATTAGCTGTATAAAGCTGATTAAACGAGGCGAGGGAGTAACAAAAATAGCAAAATATAAAAAAAACCTGTGGGCAAACACTTAAAAGTTAAGGATGGCACAATATTAGGCATGACAGTAGGACTACCGAGAGGCATAGCCTCCGATTTGTTAAAATTAATCTTATCTCCAGAAAATTTACTAAACAGATGAGTGATCCCAATGAGAGATGGGACTGACACGACTGGATTTGATAAGAACACTAGCACATCATCAGCATGTAATGTTATTTCATTGACATACATTTCCAATCTGTAAACCATATATAAAAGGTGCCATTCTAATGGCCTCAGCCAGTGGTTTAATAATTAATGCAAATAAAGAGGTAACAAAGGGCAGCCTTGCCTGGTTCCTCTATACGTAGAAAAGTATTTTGAAAGCAGCCCATTAGTCACAACTGCTGCCTGTGGTTCGTTCCATATGATTTTGACCCATTTCACAAAATTTTTACCAAGACCAAATTTGTCAAATGTGCAGAATAAAAAGGACCACTCAGCTCGGTCAAGTGCTTTCTCTGCATCTAGGGAAAGCACCAAACCATCTACAGACTTTTGTTGGAAAACCTGGATAACATTAAGGAGACGTTGCATGTTATTTGTTGAGTTTCTGCCTTGTATAAAACCAGTTTGATCTTTGTTAATTAATGTGGGCAACCGGTCTTCTAATCGAGTTGCCAGAGTTTTAGAAAGCAGTTTTCGGTCCATGTTTAATAGAGCTGTTGGTCTGTAGGAGGAAAGAGAGAATTTCCCTTTTTTTCAATATGAGTGTTATGTTAGCCTCCTTAAGGGTCTGTGGCAGTTATGTGGTAGAGAGTGCATGGTTAAGCATTTGCAGTAACCGTTCCATAAGCCAAGCTGAAAGCTGAAATTCTTCATAAAATTCACTGCAGAGTCCATCTCGTCCTGGCGATTTCCCATTCTGTAAACTTTTAATAGCATTAATTACTTCTTCTCTTGTGATTGCGGCATTGAGAAGACTTTTTTGTGCTTCTGACAATTAATTGGGGTGCATCATTTGTCAGACAAAATGAGTACAGATTTGCATACAATTCCTAAAAGCAGTCATTTCTCAAGCCGTTATAATGTATCCTGTTACCCTTAGCATCAACTATAGCTGCTATGGCCTGGGACTCTGCTCTTTTCTAGGCAAGGTGTGCAAGACCTTTCTACGGAAGAGGATTAGGGCCACTGAAGAAAAAAAAATAAAATTCTGAGAAAAAAAATCAGAATTCTGAGAAAAAAGTCAGAATTCTGAGATTAAAGTCAGAATTTTGAGAAAAAAGTCGGAATTCTGAGAAAGAAGTCAGAATTCTGAGATTAAAGTCAGAATTCTGACTTTTTTCCAGAACATTAAAAACATTCCGGGAGATTTTTTTTTTTTTCAATCTCTGAAAAAAGTCAGAATTCTGAGATTAAAGTAAGAATTCTGACTTTCTC